TCAGTAGTGCATGCCTACAGAACAGAAAAAAATCTTTTTAAAGCAACAACCAAACTAAAAACCACTAGTTTTTGCTATAACTTTTTTAATATTGTCTCTAGTGAAGATTTTCAAGAGATGATTTCCCTGACCTCTTTAAACATCTTCTTTCTGCCAAAGAAGCTGGTGTACAAGAAAGAAATTTAGCTGTTGGACAACTGTAATTCTTAAGTCAGCATGTTCTGTTCACTTTCACTAAGTGAGAAGAACCTTAGATACGCTCTCCCTTCTGTGCCCTTTTTGATCATAGTAATAGGATGGATCTGAAATCCAGCCAGCTTTTCTCTCTTTTGAGCTTCAAATCAAGATGAAAACTCACTGTGGAAGCTCCTCTTGTAGGCAAGGCTTTCAAAAATCTTTGCTCTCAAAAACAGAGAATGATACTCTTGGTGTATCATTCTTTAGGCAACTGTTCTGGCTGCTGTTGTAGATGCCGTACAGGTTTGGAAGAATTAGGTTTCAGCCCATAGGCTATAAAATTTCTCTGCAAATTGCAAGACAGTAGTTTGCAACAGAATGAAGCACAGCATGTCCAATGGACTAAGCAAAATTCAAGCCAAACTGCTGCCAGGTAATCACTGTAATTTATAAATGTGTATTCTACAGATAGAGGCACCTACTGGCTGCACTGAATAGATACTTTACAGAACACACTTTAGTCTGGTCCCACCGTTGTTCTGTAGCAGTAGGACAGAGGTAAAAGAGGTTGGAAGACTCACAGAAAACTAAATCTATTTTATGTCAACTAAGCAGCATTGTTTTCCTTTTTCACAAGTGCCATGATAGATGCAAGACCTTTATTTTTATGTTTAGGCATTGGAGTTGTAACTTAACAGGGACTCCCATGAACCATCCCCTGCGCTCTTGCTACGCTGAGGAATGGCAAAGCTTCTGTAGGAGCCTTGAGTCCAGAAAAGTTTGACCATTGCCATCAGCATCCCAGCACACTTTGCTTCCTCCAGGGCAGAAAATGGTGCTACTTGCTCCTTCAGAGGAGTCATAAAGCATAAAGGAAGTGCATTCATGGGACTTCTTGAATTGCTGAACATATTGCCAGGGAGTAGCTTATCTCTAAACTAGTGGGAAATACCCAGCTCAAACAGATGGCCAATCTTCATTCAGCTCTGTGCTCTGTAGCACACAACAATATTCTCTCTTTCCTTTTTACCACATTCTCATTTCAGTCAGATTAGTGATGGGGCTGCACATAGCAGCCTGTGACTGCCTGGGCACTGCCTGGCCATTTCCTGCCAGAACTACCTGGCCTGTTGCTTTAGATACAGAGATTAATTCTTCCCTTCCTTTGCTAGACTACACAAAAGGGTCTCCTGCCAAAGTTATTGTGCTGGGATTCAGCTTCAGGGAGGAATGAGGAATAAAGGATGGAGAATGGACTATTAGCCTCTAGCTATTTCCACTTTTAACCCTGAGGACAGAATCAGCCTTCCTGAATGCCTTGCAAGAGGATATGTGTGTTTGATGAGTTATTTTGCAGGGTTTAGCCCCAGATGCACGTTCATGAGCCAGTGGAATGCAGCAGTTCATTGTGAATGCAAACCTATGTGCACTGTTGAGCTGTACACCCCCCCCACCCCCCATCACTAAAGGGCATATCTTATCTTTCCTTCTCCCAATCCCATCCTTCCCTTTCTTGGACCAGCACAGTGGCATAATGAGAGTCAGGTTCCTGAGTTCTCCTGTATCATGCAGTATTGATGTAACAGAGTGGACAAAGTCTATGTGTGTGCAGTTGAAATCTCACAGCAGCTGATTCACCTTACAGGCTCCAGAGTTCTCATGAGAAAAGGAGAGCACAGCTGAGTTTCTGCCAGACTCTCCTCTCAGGTGCAGCCTCAGTGCCTTACCATGACACCCCACCAGCTCCTTCTACCCAGTATCTTTTATTTTTTCAAAACAGTTTTCAAAATTTTCCATTCCAAGAAAAAACACCCCAAAAAACCTCTTGCGAACATGTTTGCCAAATTTACCAAAGGAGGAAGATGATTTCAGCTGGTTGTAGTCCTTTATTTATTCTAAATAAATCAGATATTGGCTCCAGGAACACCTTTACTTTCCGTTGTTTACATCCCAGGCTGACAGTTAACCTCTTAAAAGCTTTCAAATAAAACACAGCTGAAGAACTCTTTGCTTTCCCCAGACTCTGAAAATGTCCAGGGTTTTCTTATTTAGTAGTTTTGTGTTGGTATTTTTTGGCATACTGTATTGTATACCTCCCTGTGGTCTTTAAATTACCTGGTCATCAAGAAAGCATTTACATTCCTGTTAAAATAAGTGCACTCAGAGGAGCCAACAGAAAATTATGCATAAGGATATAGTTTATGTACATCGGTTGCAATCTAATAAAAAACCAGTCACTTCATGTTCCCAGGTTTGTGAATATTTATCGTGGTAAGCAAGTAGCTGAGAGAGGTTAGGTTGAGGAAATAAGGGATAGTAGAGGAAATCATTGTAACTAATAGAAGACAAATCTCATTAGTGAAAGCAGGTTCTTGCAAAATCCCAGGTAAAAGCTGCTGACAGTTTCCTTTGTATCTCTAAGTGGTCCTGACCTAAACCAGCCCCATAAATTAAGGTGCTCAAGAACAGTATGTAACAGAACAGACGTTTTGCCAGCTCCTTACTGGTGCCCAATAAGAATCCCAGCATTTTGTATAAAAGCAGCTGGGGGAGATAATTGTGTGGCTAAGGGAGCATCAGCAGGCTCCAAGAAATCATTAGTCACTTTTGCAATACACCTGGTAAATTATTTGTACGTTTAAGCAGAGCTGCTCCCCTCAGTATTGTGGTGTAGGATACAGATAGGTTCAAGGCTCTGAACATAATCAGCAGACGTGTGTCAGCAATTAGGAAGCAACCTTCTTTTCTAGTACCAAATTAAGGCGGAAGAGCTGCAATTGTGGCTGGAAGTAGACTGTGCTACCATGATTTTACCAGGCACCTGCAGCCTGACACACAAGGCTGATCTGGCATGTGGCACAAGCATCCAGTTCTTTCCAGTCACCCACCATGTACTAACTCTTCGGGAAAAAAAAAAAAAAAAAAGGCTAGCAGGTTACCGCATTTGAGCCCCAGTATGAATTTATATCGAATTAGTATTTTGACTTGCCTACCATGTTTTTCACCTGATGTAGGAGCTCTAAAGCTGGTTCATTTATAGTTTTCAGGCATTGCTTTGGTAAAGTAGATTGAGAATGTGCTGCCATGTTAAGTAGAAAGTCTTCTGAATTAGTCTTAACTACTGTGCGCTAGATAAACCTTTATCATCCCTCTTTTCAGCTCCACAATGCGATGAGTCCCTATAGAGCTAGAGGCAACTTTGGTCACCTTTGATCACACAGAGCAGTGCTTGACCCTGACGAATGTGTAGGGTGGACAGGGAGGGGGAACCCCAGGCAAGAGGCTTTTCCTTTAACCTCTAGCTCCGGGGGAGAGTGTGCCCTCTCCCTCTCTCCCACCATGAGGTCTCCATGGCCCCAACAGAGATCACAGGAGACAAGCAGCTGGCAGGGTGAGCAGGCAGAGAGAGAGCTTTATTGTTCTGGTAATTGCTTAAATACCTTTTGGGGGGATCACAATGTAACCATTAGGAGTCCAGGAGGTCTTACAAACCAACCAAGTACAAGAAAGGGTTAACAACCAATAGGGAGACTTTCAGGTATCTCTCAGGACATTCCAAAGTAGAGATAAAGGCTGAGAATCCTAGGAAGAAGAAAGGTTTACACAAAGGGTTACAAGGCCATTTTGGGAGCACGTTCACTTTAAACAACATTACAATTTCTACATTCTTTTATATACCAAAGGCATATTGCAACATGACCCTCCATGGATTTACCTGGAAATCGAAATCTACCCGACAGGGTAAGGCAGTGATTTCTGATAGGCTTGATCCAGAGTGAACAAATCTGCTAATTAGCTTCAGGCAGGCAGTTAATGGGATATCTGCACTGTTCTGCTGTTGTCCAGACTGTGTGTCTCTGTGCTGGTTTTGGCTGGTGTAGAGTTAATTTTCTTCACAGTGGCCAGTGTGGCCTGTGTTTTGGATTTGTGCTGAACAGAGTTAATAATTCAGAGATGTTTTCCTTATTGCTGAGCAGAGCTCACACAGAGCCAAGGCCTTTCCTCTCTCTCACTCCACCCTACCAGCGAGGAGGCTGGAGAGGGGAAGGAGTTAGGAGGGGGCACAGCCAGGGCAGCTGACCCCCAGTGACCTAAGGGGTATCCCAGACCATATGAGGTCATCCTCACCACACAAAGCTGGGGGGAAGAAGGAAGAGGGGAACATTCACAAGGCTAGTGTTTGTCTTCCCAAGTCACCCTTTTGTGTGATGGAGCCCCACTGTCCTGGGGATGGCTGGACATCTGCCTGCACATGAGAAGTGGGGAATGAATTCCTTGTTTTGCTTTCCTTGCATGCACTGCTGTTGCTTTACCTATTAAACCATCTTTATCCCAACCAATGATTTTTCTTACTGTTACTCTTCTGATTTTCTTCCCCCATCCCACCCGGGGAAAATGAGTGAGTGGCTGTGTGGGGCTGAGCTGCTGGCTGGGGTAAAACCAGGACAGTCTCTGAAGGGAAGCCTCAGTGTATCTCACTGATGTGTTTCATGCTGAGGAAAAACTGAAAATAAAAATATATTTAAAAAAAAAAGAAAAAAAGAAAAAAAAAAAAAAAAAAAAAAAAAAAAAAAAAAAAAAAAAAAAAAGAAAAAAAAAAAAA